ACTGGTGTGTTTGGGGTCGTTGTCTTGTTGGAACACCCATTTTGTCAGGGCGCGAGTGTTCTGCAGCATCGCACCGTGCGGCGCATGCGCAGAACACCGACGCGCTCCAGACGGGACCTGGACGAGCACGGCTGCGGTGATGGCCGCGCGTGCGCACTCGCGGTCGCAGACGCGCCTGGCACCAATGAGGGCGAGCTATTTAAACAGAACAGAGGTATGTCAAAATTGCCGTTTGGTCTTATCTGCTCTGTTCCTGATTCTTATTCCTGTGATTATCCGTTGCCGACCTCTGCATTGTACCTGACCCTGCTGACTTCTCCTGATTAACCCCTGGCTTGCCTGATCCTTGTACCGCGCTGCCCGCTAATTGCTGAACCTGGCTTCTGACTCCGACCATTCTCTGCTTACTCCTCTGGTACCTCGCTGCCCGCACATTGCTGACCTGGCCTACCTGACTACGCCTCACGCTACCCAGATGATCCATCCATCCCGCACGGATCGCTGCCTGTCAGTAAGTCTGCCAGCCTCTTCACATCAGACTCCGTTTCTCGCACACCCCTGACGGTGCTCTCTACCACTGCCGGACGTACTCAGGGGTCGCGACCTGGTCTCAGTCTGCGCCAAGTCCATCCCCACCATCAGGGGCCCTGGTGAATAGCAGATTGGGACTTAGACCCCGCGCCCTGAGGAACTCCGCACTGTGGGCTGCTAGAGACACCGCCGGGTGGATCATAACGCATTTCAAGGGCATTTCCTCTTCAGCATAACGCAGCATGACCTCTTCAAGTATTCTAATGTATTCAAACTGCTCCATGATCCCTGGTATGCGATAAATAGGCCCAACACCGTAGTATGAGAAACATCCCCATATCATAATGCTTGCGCAACCATGCTTCACTGTCTTCACAGTGTACTGTGGCTTGAATTCAGTGTTTGGGGGTCGTCTGACAAACTGTCTCCGGCCAATAGACCCAAAAAGAACAATCTTACTTTCATCAGTCCACAAAATGTTGCGCCATTTCTCTTTAGGCCAGTCAATGTGCTCTTTGGCAAATTGTAACCTCTTCACCACGTCTTTTTTTCAACAGTGGGACTTTGCGGGGGCTTCTTGCAGATAGCTTGGCTTCACATAGGTGTCTTCTAATTGTAACAGTATTCACAGGTAACTTTAGACCTTCTTTGATCTTCCTGGAGCTGATTGTTGGCTGAGTCCTTGCTATTTTGGCTATTCTTCTATCCATTCGAATGGTAGTTTTTCGCTTTCTTCCACGTCTTTCAGGTTTTGGTTGCTATTTTAAAGCATTTGCGATCATTTTAGCTGAGCAGCCTATCATTTTCTTCACTTCTTTATATGTTTTCCCCTCTCCAATCAACTTTTTAATCAAGGTTTGCTGCTCTTCTGAACAATGTCTGGAACGACCCATTTTCCTCAGAATTGCACTGTAACCAGCATGTACAACATTTGCTGCCTTCCTTCCTTAAATAAGGGCAATAATTGCCACCTGTTTTTCAAAGAATGAATGACCTCACTAATAGAACTCCACACTGCTATTATTTTGAACATGCCCCCTTCAATTAGTGATTCAATTACACAGAATCAGCAGCATGCATGTCATGACTGTTGGGTCTGTTGGATTTCTATTACTCTACTACACCTGCTAGTAAATTATTTGCCATGTAGAAATATAATTTCTACCAAAAACAGTGATTGATCAGGTTAGTGATGTCTGACTGCTATTATTTTGAACACAACTGTATGTCAGTCTTCAATTCCAGGACAGAAAAGTATAAATCTGAGCCTGGCTCTTACCAATACTGGAAAAGACTTCAGAAAACACATTTAAGCCTATTGTGAAAATATAGATTGCACTAGAACAACCTTTCTCAACCAGGGTGCCCAGGAACCCTGGGGTGCCTTGAGGTTTCTTCAGGGGTGCCTTGGCAAAATGTCTAAAAATTGCCCAAAACTTGTATACAAGCCAGTGGGTGGAACAAGCCTGCCTTTTAGTTACACAAAGTCACAGGTTTTCCTTGTGCACCATTACGACCTTCTAGCCACCAGAGTACTGACAACCAATCACATCATCAGTTGATAAAGAGGATGTTGGTTGTCTGCACAGCATCCTAGTTTGACCCTCTCCTGCCCCTCTCCATCAGTGCTGGGATCACTTTAGCTCAGTGATGGAGAAAAACTGAGGGAGAAGAGAAAACAGTGAAATACTAGTCGGTACCAGCGTGCAAAAGTGTATTTGCTTTGGAAGAATAAATCACCTCTAAATGTCGGATGTTGCTGCATTATATAAATCTGTTACAATAGTTTTTCACACTTTTAGAATGGGGTGCCCTTTTAAAATTACGGACAGTCTTGAGGCACCCCATTTTAGAATGGGGTGCCTCAAGACTGTCCATGGTTTTAAAGGGTGCCTCAGGACTGTCCATAATTTTAAAGGGTGCCTTGCCTGAAAAAAGGTTGAGAAACACTGCACTAGATTATCAACCAGAAGTTATTCATATTCATGCTTTGATGCTAAGCCTATGATGAGATGAGGTGATCATGGAATGTGTTTCAGAAAGTTCAAAGAGTTGTGCCCATTTCGTACAAAGCACACACAGACACCGCACTAACTCTAAGCACAGAAGTAGATCTGATCCTACTCAAGATTAGTGTTCTACTTATGATAGATACAGTTCTGCAAACTTTCATAAAAGATTCTGCAATAGTCAGTTCTGTTAAAGTGTCATTAAACCCAAAAGTTATCACATTTTTTTCATATACAGTAGTAAAAACCTGGTTGATTTCTGCCATTCACTTGTATTTCATGGTGTCTGTGTCCCCGCTATAGTACTGGATCCTACTGAATCACACATTGCTACCAATACTATGCATGGTCCTCTTTCAGTGCACAGCCAAGCTGTTCACTTCCTTCCTTGTCTGATTCTAGTCCCAGGTGACTATGAATCATCTTTGTTGGTGTATAGATATTGATGAATGACAAACATCTCCCTCTATCCTCCTCTATGGTGATGGTATTATAGCCTACCTCCACTATGTTATTAAAAACAAAACAAAAAACAAAAAGAAAAACACAACACAGATCTTTTTATATAATACATTATAACATAAAGCTTTGAATACTTTATTGAGCTGTATTATGTATTTCTCTTTATCATTAACCAGCTGACCTCTGGAAGGTTTTTGCCCCTTTCATGACCAGAGCATTTTTTTTGCTATTCAGCACTGTGCTACTTTCTTGCAATTGCTTGGTCACGAAACACTGTACCCAAATTAAATTAATATAATTTTTTTTTCACTCAAAATATTGCTTTTTTGGTGGTATTTGATCACTGCTGGGTTTTTTTATTATATAATTTATTTTTTAACTTGTCATGTGACTGCTACAGTGCTTATCAGCACTGTTCTGGCATGGAGAGTTAGTGCAGACTACCTTGGATGATATAAACATCATCGATTTGCTCCAAGCTCCTTCTCCTGCAGGGAACAAGCAGGAAAAGGTCACATGACCACTGCATAAAGGGTCTAAAGAAAGGTAATTAGAAGATTTATTTTTTAAAATAAGACGCATAACTAGAATTTATGTGTACATTTAGAATTCCTAATAAAAGCTAATTGATGAGAGTTTAATATCGCTTTAATTTATAAATAACAATATAGAATATATAAACAGAAGATACACTGTATTTCTTTAAAGTGCTACTAAACCCACAACAGTAAAATCAGCCTGTATATACAGTAAAGCATGATTGTTATACTCAATGTGGAACCTAAAGGGTTAATCCTCTGCATGGAGTAAAAAGACCGTTTGATCCTTTCTTCTCTGTTCCTCCCCTTTTTCAAGCGACCACCTCTATCTCTGATAAGACAGACTGAACAGTAGACATTTTGCACATGCTCAGTTTGGTGTGTATTGCTAAAGGTTTTTTTTTTTTTCTTGGGAGAGTGCATGTGATCAACACTGGTCAGCACTGGTCAGACAGAGGTCAGGTTTTTTGCATCCTTCTTGAGCAGAAAAAAAAAACCTCCTCCTACAAGCTTTAGCTAGTGCTGGGCTGGACACTCATAGAAGCAACAAGACTGCTCTAACTTCTGATGACAAAAAAAGAATTTAGCAGTTTATATTTACTAAAATAATTGCATTTCCATGTTCTGTGTACTGTGGGAGACCAGATATAATAAATGCAGGGTCCTGGGTTTAGTAACACTCTAATGCACTTGAACTCTATGGGGTGTATTTATGCATTTCACCCAGGTTTCACATACAGCGGGTAAAATAAGTATTTAACACATCACCATTTTTCTCGGTAAATATATTTCTAAAGGTACTATTGACATGAAATTTCCACCATGTCGGTAACAACCCATGCAATTCATACATACAAAGAAACCAAAACAAATATGTTCAGAAATTAAGTTATGTGTAATAAAATGGAATGACACAGGGAAACAGTATTGAACACACTAATTGAAATTTATTTTAATACTTTGTACAAAATCCTTTGTTGGTAATCACAGCTTTAAGAAGCCTTTTGTATAGAGAAACTATCCACATGTGTTGCTCAGGTGTGATTTTGGCCCATTCTTCCACGCAGTCTTCAAATCTTGAAGGTTCCATGGGCCTCTTCAGTGAACTCTGATCTTTAGTTCTTTCCATAGATTTTCTATTGGATTCAAGTCAGGTGATTGGCTGGGCCTTTCCAGTAGCTTTATTTTCTTTAAAACCAATTGAGAGTTTCCTTGGCTTTGTGTTTGGGATCATTGTCTCGCTGAAATGTCCACCCTCATTTCATCTTCATCATCCTGTTAGATGGCAGCAGTTTTTTTATCAAGAATGTCTTGGTACATTTTTCCATTCATCCTTCCTTCAACGATATGTAGTTTGCCGGTACCGTATGCTGAAAAACAGTCCCACACCATGATGTTTCCACATCCAAACTTCACTGTTGGTATGGTGTTTTTGAGGTGATGTGCAGTGCCATATGACCTCCAAACATAGTGTGTATTATGGCATCCAAAGAGTTCAATTTTGGTCTCATCTGACCAGACTATACTCTCCTAGTACTTCACAGGCTTGTCTAAATGTTGTGCAGCAAAATTTAAACAAGCTTCAACATGCTTTTTCTTCAGCAATTGTGTCTTGTGTGGTGAGCGTGCATACAGGCCATGGCAGTTGATTGCATTACCTATTGTTTTCTTTGAAACAATTGTACCTGCTAATTTCAGGTCTTTCTGAAGCTCTCCACAAGTGGTCCTTGACACTTGGACAACCCTTCTGAGAATACTTTTCACTCCTCTGTCAAAAATCTTGTGAGAAGCACCTGGTCGAGGCCAGTTTATGGGGAAATTATGTTCTTTCCACTTCCAGATTACAGTGCTCACTAGAACATTCAAATCCTTCTCTAACCAATGCCATCAGTATGTTTTGCAGCAATGAGGTCGTGAAGGTCTTGAGAGAGCACTTTGCTTTTACCCATCATGAGATATTTCTTTATGTGACACCTTGGTAGTGAGACACCTTTTTATAGGCCATCATTTGAGACTGAAACAGCTGATACTAATTTGCACTGGCAAGGGGCAGGATTGCTTTCTAATTACTGATAGATTTCAGATGGTGTCTTGGCTTTCCATGCCTTTATGCACCTCCCTTTCTTCATAATACTTTTTCCTTTGCTCAATACTTTTTCCTTGTGTCATTCCATTTTATTACACATAACTTAATTTCTGAACTTGCTTGTTTTGGTTTCTTTGTATGTATATATTGCATACCAACACGTGGTGAAAATTTCATATCAAGCGCACCTTTAGAAATATATTTACTGAGAAAAATGGTGATGTGTTCAATACTTATTTTACTCGCTGTATTTTTCCAAATGAATCAAAGTTCAAAAATGTATGAATCTTGGGCAAAAACATTTGTAAATAGACCCCTCTGAGTCATTTAACCACTTGCCTACAGGGCACTTTTACCCCCTTCCTGGCCAGGCCAATTTTCAGCTTTCAGCGCTGTCACACTTTGAATGACAATTGCGCAGTCATGCAACACTGTACCCAAAAAACTATTTTATCATTTTTTTGCGACAGATAGAGCTTTCTTTTGGTGGTATTTAATCAGTAACACTCTGAAAGACTGAAAATTAAAAAAAAAAAAAAAAAAAAAGTTTCTCAGTTTCGGTTATAAAATTTTGTAAATAAGTAATTTTTCTCCTTCACGGATGTGCGCTAATGAGGCTGCAGTGATCGGCACTGATAAGCTGCACTGATGGGCATTGACAAGCAGCACTCATATGTGGCACTGATTGGAACGGTTAGACAGCACTGAAAGGCAGCTCTGATGTGCACTGGTAGGCACTGACAGGGGGCATTGATAGGCCACTCTAACTGCGCATGCGCACCCCCAGGGGTGCATGGCGATTGGTGGTGCGCTGTGTCCCTGGGATACGTCCTCCCAGAACGAGAGAACCGCCGCCCGTCCGTCATTTACTTATATGGCGGGCGGGAGGCGGTTAAAGAAAGGGGTGTTTTATTTAGGTCAATGGCTAAAAGTACAGGTGTAGTATATCCTCACCTTTGGCTTTTCGAGGAGTGCTCTCTTCTATCCACAGAACCTTTGGAAGACCCCTCAAAAGCTTCAGAAGATAGGGAACCACATGGTCTTTGTGCTAAAAATACAGATAAGCATTGCATAACTATATTTATCTTTATTTTCAAATAAAATGCCTGCAGTATAATCTGTCTACATGACTGTAAGCAGCAGACAGAAAAAAAAAAGAAAAAACAGCATTAGCATTCTGTGTTACTACTGTTTAGAAATATTCCTCCTGTAATGACATAAAGATAACATGAGAGGAGGGCAGAAAACATTATATAATTACAGACTGTAGAGTACAAGACAACAATCCCATCTTCTGTATATATGAAATTATAAGCAAAGGCCAAACCATATTATTATTTTCTTTTTTTGGTTTTAGCTTTGACTAGAGTGGGGGAAGGGTTAGGCTCTCTGTAAAGTTTGCATTACTTTTTGTCTCTGTAGGACAGATCCATCCCTCTGTTTGTATAGATGACCATTGTCAATGAAACAGTGAGGGGAAATCAAAAAAAAAAATGTACGGTCGACCCCAGAACAAGAAGAGAGGTGAAATCTCCAATTCGAGTCACCTGTTGCAGGAAGAAAGTTATCTCCCCTCACTTTTTGGAAATTTTGTCTAACTTTCCATTGCGTCTCTGGGACAGGAAGTGAAGGGAAATTTCCCCATTACATAAAAAGCCAATAATAACCTGAAGGGGAGGTTTATCAAGTATACCAGTAATTGTGGGCTAACAGTAACAAAAGGTCATAAATTAAATTAGTATAACACATACCTGAAGTTCAGATTCAACCAAGAAAATGCCCAAAGCAATAAGGGCATCTCTTCTTCTCTCATCCAGCTGAAATACCTCATGGAAGTCAACAGGGCACATACACAGCAGCTTCTGTACCTGCAATAAAGCACGTAAGAAGGTAAGAAAAGTTTCACTATAAATACCACAAATATGGAATTTGACAAAATATAACAAAATGACTTAATGGCTATAAAAGCAACAAAGTGAAAATCGGCATATTTAATTTTTCCATTGAAGTTTAATGTGCTTATATTTTGTGGCACTCCTGACTTTGTCCCTCCTCACTGGGCAGATCGATAGCAGTGGAAGCCAATAAACTCCAGTAATGAGGGAGCAAGTGGCAGGGCTCAGTCCTGCTGTCCATGTCAATAGACAGAGCAGTGCCCCCATAGGAATCTAATTCCTACTGGAGGAAGCAACAAGAGAGGAGAAGCTAGGAGCGTAGGCGGGGGACCCGAGAAGAGGAGGATTGGGGCTGCTCTGTGCAATTCTATTGCACAGAGCAGGTAAGTAAAGACATGTTTGTTATTTTAAAAAAAGTTTTACTTTACAACCACTCTAAATTTGAAAAAAAAAAAAAAAAAATTTTTCATTCCATACCTTATTTTCGAACCTCTAGAGCAGGCATCACTAAATGGTGGACCACAGTCCGGATCATTCCTTTCCGGACCACAGCCTCACCAAATAGTTGCCTGAATCTCGCTGGCTCACCACTATTACCCTCAAGGAAGAGCACAACATTTGAGGCGCAGCAGGTCTATCCCTTTCATAATATCGCAGCACTACCTCCTTCCCACACTGTCCTACCTTATTCACAAAAGCCGGGAAGCACAGCAGGTCTGGACATAGGACGGGGCTTTTCATGTTAGGAAGTGAGTGATTGGTTGCCAATGATTGATTGCTAGGCAGTGGGGCAGTCCAAGCAATCATTTACCCGCCTTTAACATGAAAATCCTGCCCTATGTTCAGATCTGCCGTGCTTGCTGTCTTGTGTGAATAAGGTAGGACAGTGTGGGGAGGAGTGGGAGGAAGGGGCGGGAGTGCTGCGATATTAAAAAGGGACACGAATCTGTAATATGCACCGAGGACTGTGATGGGGCAATCTGTGATGGGGGGGTCTGTGATGAGAGATGATCTGTGATGAGGGGGGATCTGAGCTGAGGGGATCAGTAGGTGATGGAGGGGGGTCTATGATGAGCAGGGTCTGTGATGGGACGGTCAGTCATGGGATGGTCAGTGATGGGACGGTCAGTGATGGGGTAGGGGGTCTGTGATGTAAGATGGGGGTGGGGGGAGGGAACGGTGATGTGCACAGGAGGCCGTGGTGTGAAGTATCGGAGTCACAGCACCAACATGACACCCGAAGCTCCACTGGAAGAAAATTTTACTGTCTGGACCCCCATGAATTTTAATTTAGTCCCCCTGGTCTAGAGTCTCTATGCTTCTCTATACAATGCAAGCCAATCATAGCTGTTGAAAAGAACCAGCAGGGTGCTGTACACAGTTTCCTGGAAAAAAAAAAATCAGTGCCCTGCCACAGTCCCCTTCCCAAGTGCCCTCAGTCCTGATATATGCAGTAATATGGTTTGTGGGAGATGTTATGTATATATAAAAATGCCTTGATGTGGGAAGAAGTCAGTTTTTAGAGTGGGCATTTCTAGGCAGGTGCATTTACATGTAAAAATGCCATAGGTAACACCCACCTGAGACTTTGCGCCTCTGTGATTGAAAGAATTGAAATTAAATGAATGAATGGGATGAGCCAAGGACAGTTAGGCTGGGTGCAAATAGTTAGATGATGCTGGAAGTTCTTTAGCCAGGACATGGGGCATTAATCTTTTAAAGCACTCTGCGAGAAGCTCAAAAAAGAAGGTTAGGACCAAATTTTCTCATCAATTTATTGCTACCTTGATGGTTAGCAGTAGTTAGTCTGATTCAACTTGACTGGATGTCTTAGGCCAATTTCTATATTTAAAAGGGGAACTCCAACCTTACCTCCAGTCTTGCACAGTTGTACAGGCTCTTCTGTACTGAAATTGCTCAGTCTGTTTTAACTGCACCCTTTGTTTCATGTAACTCTTCTAATCATCAAACTATCCGTTATGTGCAGCAATTACAGTTTTAGATCTTTGGCTTTCTGGCTTTTAGGAGTATTGTAACTAAAGGATCTTGTAGCTCTTCCCAAAGGTGCAACTGGCCTTTAGGGCTCTTTCCCATAACACCTTGACAGTGTTTGAACCTGGTGACTGAGCAAGTCAACCTGTCAAAGACAGACCTTGTGATCCTTGTTTCTTTACCAAACAGGTGTTATATAGCTACGAAGTATGCTTTAGATTGTGGTTTGCTGGATTATAGAATAGTCCTTGCTTTATTCTTTGAAACCCTGCCTCTAAGGGCAACATTCCGGAGTTGTATGTTCTATGTGGCAGATTATTCTGTTATGTGGTGTGTACCATTTAAAGCAAACTTTTCATAAGACAAACCTGGAGGCTGCTGCTGCCTTCCTTGTAAAATGCTACTACTTCCTGTCTGTAATGCTAAATCTCTGACTTGAACACATTTGGAACCACTGACCTGGGTTAAACATGTAGCAAATGAAGTCTGAACTCCT